AAGATGCTGAATATAAATGAAAACAGGAAATCTCTTGCCCAGCCATTTGTTTTCATCTGTCTGTGATTTGCAAGGGCTCCCTAAGAAGAAAGATAAACCTGTCAAATATCCTGAATTTGCAGCTCACAGTAATGAATATTTTGATGTATAATAAAACTTGATGTGACTCAGCAGATATAGTAGCCAGGTTAGGAATCTTCTGTTCTTGTTTGCCAAAAAGGCTGCCCCAGGAGGCAAAACCAGGATAGAATTCTTCAGAAGTCAATTTAGAAAAACTTAACTTTGCTATGGTTTGATTCTTGGCTTACAGATCTGAAAAAGGTTCAGCTGGAGCTCTGCCCTGGCAGTCAGAAGACCTTCTTTTGTCTTGATTTTGCCAGTACTTTGCCATGCCTACCTGGCCAAACATCGTACCCTCTCTGGGACTAACATTTCCCCTCTGTAAATTCTGGGCCAGCTCTGAAATTCTGTGGTCCATGATGCTAAGGCTATTCATTTATTTGAGCTGCCCTTAATTCTATAGAAAGCAAGTTTGGATCCTACATTAAATAGCCAAAGTAGCTAGACTGAGGTCAGCAAACCTTTTCTGTACAACAGGCCAGACAGTAAATATTTTAGGCTTTGTGGTTCATATGGTCATAACTAGTCATAATGCTGCTGTTGGATAATGGAAAACAGCCATAGACAATACATAAACAAATGAGGAATAAGCATGGCTGTGTTCCAATAAAACTTTATTTATTTTAATTATTTTTGAGACAGTCTCACCCTGTCACCCAGGCTGGAGTAAGTGGCACGATCTTGGCTCACTGCATCCTCCATTTCCCATGTTCGAGCAATTCTGTGCCTCAGCCTCCCAAGTAGCCGGGATTACAGGCATGCACTACCACAGCCAGCTAATATTTTTGTATTTTTGGTAGAGACGGGGTTTCACCATGTTGGCCAAGCTATTCTCAAACTCCTGGCCTCAAGTGATCTGCCCACCTTGGACTCCCAAAGTGCTGGGATTATAGGCATGAGCTACTGTGCCCAGCCTAAAACTTTATTTATGACACCGAAATCTGAACTTTACATAATTTGCACATGAAACATACTCTTTTTTTTTTTTTTTTTTTTTTGAGACGGAGTTTCACTCTTGTTACCCAGGCTGGAGTGCAATGGCGCGATCTTGGCTCACCGCAACCTCCGCCTCCTGGGTTCAGGCAATTCTCCTGCCTCAGCCTCCCAAGTAGCCGGGACTACAGGCACGCGCCACCATGCCCAGCTAATTTTTTGTATTTTTAGTAGAGACGGTGTTTCACCATGTTGACCAGGATGGTCTCGATCTCTTGACCTCGTGATCCACCCGCCTCGGCCTCCCAAAGTGCTGGGATTACAGGCGTGAGCCACCGCACCCGGCATGAAACATACTCTTATTCTTTTTTTTTTTTTTCAACCATTTAAAAATGTAAAAATTGGCTGGGCAGGGTGGCTCATACCTATAATCCCAGCACTTTGGGAGGCCAGGGCAGGAGGATCACTTGAGCCCAGGGGTTCAAGACCAGCCTGGGAACAAAATGAGACCTTGTCTCTACAGAAATCAAAAAATTAGCATGGTAGTGCACACTTGTGGTCCCAGCTACACAGAAGGCTGAGGCAGGAGGATCACTTGAGCCCCGCAGCTTGAGGCTTCAGTGAGCCATATTCACACCACTGGGTGACAGAATGAGACTCTGTCTCAAAAAGAAAAAGCAAAAATTATTCTTAGTTCATAAGTTATACAAAATACCAACCGGCCAGCTTCTGAGCTAGAACCCTAAGGAAATTGCTCTGTATGGTTGGAATAGAGACTGAGACATAGTAGAGTATAGTGATATGTGAACCTGGAGAGGTAGCAGAAGAGAGACTGGGGAGAACCTTGGAAACTTTCCTGAGGAGTTTAAGCCTTATGGAGACTAGGGATCCATTGAAGGTTTTTAAGCTAAGTAATAGGGTCAGAACTGTATTTAGAAAAACCATACTGGCTTCTGTGTAAAAAATAGATTGGCGAGAACAAGTATGAGAGATATTAAGGAGGTAGGTAGAATCCATAGGCTGACTGTTCACATATGAGTATGAGGGAGAGAATGTTCCCTGCATTTCCCTGTGCTTATCTAAGGCACCCTTCTCTATTTGCTCCAGCCAAGTGGGATTGCCTCATTGTCTGAATCCTCAAACCTTGGAAGTTGCTGATGGTGGCATGAACTCCGTGCTTCTGTAGTGCTTGGCTAGTCTTACCAAGCCATTTCTTATACCATGGACTTCAGTCATACCCAAACCATTCACTGTTCTCAGAACAAGCAAGGCTGTCTCCTGCTTCCTGGCTTCTATACATGCCACTTGCTACCCTGAATGTCTCTTTGCCCTTAACAATTTGGTAAACACCTATTGATCTCTGAGGACAGCTCAAATGTTACCTACCCTGTGAAGCCTGTCCTTATCCCCGATAGACCTGAACTTTTCCTTCCTTTGTGCCCTGATTGGTCTGTCTTCAGACATCTATCCCAGCAGCATTGTTACATAATGAACATATACATGTATTTAGCAGAGTAGGCTGGGAGCTCCTAAAGGGCAGGGACAAGTACAAAGTAAGCCTTATGCATAGGGTTGAGGAATGAACAGATGGTGTTGATGATGATGATGACAGCCAACATTAACTAAGTATTTGCTGTATACTAGACTCCAGGATAAAGGCTTTATCTACATAAGAACCACTTATTTCTACTTTAGACATAAGGAAACCCAGATTAAGTAATTTGCCTAATATCACATTGTTAAGACTTACGCTCAGGTCTGCAGAGCCCATCAGTTTATTATTACTCCAGAGTCAGACCAAACCCAGACCTTCTCTGATGGTAACCTGCAGCGCATGTATGTCTGACCAAAGATTTGCTCCTTTACCAATTGAATAAGATGCTGAAACTAATCCCGTTCAATAGACTTCAATGTATGTTGAGGAGAGGGGCACAGGGAAGCACATAAGAAATAGCGGTGCATGGAAGGGGGCCAACTTGTATATAGAGTGAGTGTCTACAGAGGCTTAGGAGAAGGAAAATAAATATTGGACAGATGTCATTTATCATGATGGTCTTTGTCTCTGGAGAGAAACACAGTTTTCTGACTGAACCCTTGGCCTCTTGACCCCAGTTAACTGTCTCATGAATCCAGATGGCCAGTAAGAAGGTGGCCAATAATAGGTTGACAATTCGGGATTATTGTCCTCATAAGCCAGTTTTTTTCAGCTCATTTTTTATGTGCACCTACTATGTGCCAGGTCCTATGCTAAGTTACAAGGACACAGTGCTACAGTGGCATGGCACTTGACCTCACAGTCCTCCAAGTGCCAGTTTATGATCTAGTCCACCACTGTGTGCCAGGCACTATGCTAGGCATATCCATATGCCAGATACCTGGCGGACTTTGGTAAGTAACCCAAGAGCAGTTTAGATAAAGCACTTCAAGTTAGGGGAGGTAGAGACTCCATCTGTCTAGGGAATTGGGAAAGTTTTACAAGGAAGCAGCTGCTTTTGAACTGTCTTTTTGGGGCTTGGATTAGGATACATGGAAGAAGAGCACTGCTGTTTAAGCGAAAAGCACAAGCAGAGATCTATAGGTGGATGAAGCAAAGAGTGGGGAGGAGTCTATTTGCCCAGCACTACAGGATAAACAAAGATTTGTAGTGGCAACTAAGGCTAGAAATCGGTTGGGTACTGACTCTAATAGACCTTGAATGTTAATCCAGAGAACCAGGAAGGTTTTGTCCTATAGGCGATGGAGCACTCTAGAAAGTAGCTCCCACCTCATATATGAACATCACTGTGACACAGAGTGCTTATCTTCCCCATCTTTTATCTTTGCATGGCAGTTCTTGGACCTTTCCTTCAACAGCCTGACTGCAGAGGCCATCTGTGATTTGGGGATTCTGCCACACCTCCGTGTCCTGCTCCTCACAGGCAATGGCCTCACCTCCCTGCCACCCAATTTGGCCGTCGCAGAGCAGTAAGTTCTACCTCCTAGAGCCTGTTCTGTGTTTTTGTGTACAAATATCCAAGGAAATAACCCATAGCAGCTTGGGGGTGCCATAAAGACAGGATGTAAGTGCTCAAAGCAGGGATAATGCCACCTACTGAAGCTCCCAGAAAGGCCTCAGACATATGCCCCCAATTTCCCTTGTGCTGTTAGGAGAGATCCAGGTGTTCGGAAAGCCACTTTCCCTGCCTCTGATTGGTCATCTGTAAATTGTCTTGCCAGATGATTCTCCTTCACAAGCCCTCTGCTTCAGCTCAGTAAGTCTGTTCCCTGGTCTCTAGATAAGCTTTGTACATTCCCACTCTGCACCTTTGCTGAGGCTATTCCTTCTGGCTGGTCCTTCCTCTCTTAATAGTAGCAAAAACACATGTGTAGTACCTACTATGTGCCAGACACTGTTCTCAGCACTATATATGTTAACTCATTAAATCCTCCTAACAGCTCTATGAGGTAGGTATCCTATTATTATCCCCATTTTTTCAATGAGGAAATAAGTATAGACATTTAAGTAACTTGCCCAAAGTTGCAAAGCTAGTTAGTAACAGAGCCAGGATTTGAACCACATCAACCGGACTCCAGAGACCATACTCACGACCATTATATTATATTCTTACATAGATTCTGTACATTTTCTACGGCCCAGCTCAGACCTTCCTCTTTTCCCTACCAGGAGCCTTCTCTGACTGCTTTAGCCCATGCCTCTTAGTCCCTTCTCTAAGGATCAGTTTAATTTGGTGTTTCCCAGTTAATTTAGTGCTTGGCATATTCTATTGTGACTTATGCCTAATGTATATGTGTATATGTGTAATAAGTTACTTAGATAGATTTTATATAGTGATAATGGTGGTTGGTTAGTTACTCAAGGGGGTTGGGATAATAGTAGTATCATTTAATAAGGGTTTCATTAGTTAGGGTTGTTTTGTTTGCAAGTAACAGAAACCCATTTCAAAGTAGCTTAAAAAAGGGAATTTATTGGTTCATGTATCTGAAAAATCCTAAGTTAAATCTGCTGGATGCTTTGGCTGGATATAGGTGCACAGGATGTTGTCAGGTCTCTGTGTGCATCTCTATTTTTTGAGCATGTGTGCGACTTCTGTTACTCTGTCACTTGTTCTGTCATACACATGCAGATACCTTTGTTTTCTTTGGTGTTGGCTTCTTTTTTTTTTTTTTTTTTTTTGCAATTTTATAACTTTATTTGATGTATTTGACAATCAGTGGTTCTCATTGACATTGACTGTAGATTTTTGAAAGTGGTAACAGGTACATAGGTAACCAAAGTATAGAGCTTAGTTGGTGAATCTTCATCCTCATTATGTTTTATGGACAATCACACAATGGATTAGGTATAGAACATTCCTTATTTCTTTGGCCCAGACAGCTTTGCTGAGCCTGGTATCAACGTGCACATCTGGAGTTCCCATCTCATTCATAGCAAACTTCTGAATCTGTCTGAGTGCCTGAGGGGCATGCTTCTTGAAGCCCACTCCATGGATGTGCTTATGAACGTCGATAGTGTATTCTCGGGTCACTATCTTATTGATGGCAGAATGGCCCTTTTTCTTCTCGCCACCTTCTTTGTGGAATCCTAGCTTCATTTGTAGGTAGGCTTTCTCCACAAGTCAGTCAGGCTATAGACAGAAATACAAAAACCACTTAAGATATTGCAGATAGATCGGATTTATTGGTTTATTGATTGGTTTACTCATTTATTCTCGGTAGGGAGGGGTAATTGGTATTTTGTCATGGAAATTTTTAAACACATAAAATTAGAGTCAATCTTAAAATTGACTCCGGGTGCCTATCACCAACAGTTATCACCTGACAGTTATCGAGGTTATGGCCAATCTTGTTTGATCTATGCCCCTGCCATACCCCATCCTAGAATATTCTTAAGAAAAATATCATACATAGCCATAAATGTTTCATCTATAAATATTCCAGTTTGTAGCTCTAAAAGATAAGCATGCTTAAAAATCATACCCAGAGAACCATTATTCCACCTAAAATATCACCAGTGATAAAGAAAGGGAATTGGTTACATGGCTGTTAGAATGGATGGAAGAGCTAAGTGGAGAAGAGGGGTATGGGAAGAACAAAGAGGAAGAATGGTTGATAACCAGAGATCAGAAGCTGCAATACCACTAAACTAAAGTCACCAAGTCTATACCCACTGCTGGGCTTTTAGGGTGTCGCTGTAATTCTGGATGTGCTAAAGATGTGATGCCTCAACCAAGGCTGGAATCTCTGCCAGCACAGCTCCATGGTTAGTGCTGCCATTGCTACTGCACTGTCACTGCTGCTTCTTACAGTAATGCTATCAGAAGCCAAACAAGAGAGTTTCTTCTCCCTTGCTCTGGCCTTCCAGTCTCTCATGAATCCCTTCTATTGGCAATATCCAACTGGAAACTAATTGGAAAGACAGTCTGGGAAGTGTAGGTAAGGAGGTGGCTCCAGCCCCTTAAAATACATAGAAGAACACAGAGGGAAAGGATGAAGGCTGAGAGCAAACAGGCAGATGACTGGCACCATTCAACCCTTGGAACACCAATATCTGCTCTCCTACTTCCCACCATATTTAATTTCCATGCAACAGTGGCAACCACAACATGCTTTTACCTAACACGAAGGAACTCTTCCTCTTACACTGAAAACACTTTCACCATCCACTCAAGAAGGATGAGACACAGTTTCATCAGTTACTGTAGCTGTCTCTGGATGATATTATTTTCTCCTCTAAAGAAATTTATGGATATTTTATATCCTGAAAACTAAGTTGTAAAGTTAGTCACCACTAGCAGTGTAAGTGTGCATGCAAGTACACACACACACACACACACACACACACACACACACACAGAGGAAGGAAGAAAATGCACATGAAAATATGCATAGTTGCTACAGTCATCTTTTCCTAACTGGTCAGGAGGCCATAGTGGATATCTGTAAATACTTTTTTCCATCACCTCTTCAATGTTCCTTTGTCCTAGTCCAGCACCTTGGCTGGTTGGGGTTCTTTAACTGATGTGGTCTTCTGAACCTTCACTCCTGAAGGGTCTGAGTCCTTAAAGGTCCTGCTTTTACTGGGTTGCTACAGTCTTCATCAAAAGGCTAAAAGACATGGAACTTCTTAGAGGAGCACCAGATAGTACTCTGGATCCCAAAGATACTCTTTTTTGACCTCAAGGTATAACAGCAATTATATTTATTTTTAGAAACAGTATCAGTTACCTAGCCAGTAGGATGAATCCCTCTTTGACTATTGGTTCAGAGGAATGAGAAACGCAAGTGGCCAGTAGCAATCACAACTTCCACTTCAGTGGAACTATGATTGTCTCCTGGTAAAAGTACCTCCTTAGGAACTAAGACCTATAAATCAGAAATGCTCAAAATTGTAGCATGAGAATCAAAATTCTGCAAGTGGACTATTAGATATAATGGTAAGAGGAGCTACTCTCATTTCCATTAATTCTTAGGTACTTAGGTGGTGGTAATGAGAAAAACAGTATCAGTTTTGGTTGCTGGTTTACATGACACCCTATGCTGTTAAGTTAGGATCCCAACTTCCCTAACTATATCTAACTGGTATAGTAGATAAATAATCAAAGACTATTTCACTAGAGAATTCTGGGAAGATGATAGAGTAGGAAGCACCAAGAATCTGTCTCCTCATTTAGACAACAATTTCATTGGCAGAATCAGTCTGATATAACAATGTTGAAACTCTGGAGTCTATTAAAAGTTTGCATCTGCTAGGAGAAGATTTGGATGACAAACTGCAGCTAATTTCAGTCAATTACAGCTCTTAACCCAGCTCTTAACCCATAACTCCCAATCTCATGGTTCAAATTTTAAACCTGAAAATTAGAATAAGAAATATATTCCTGGGGCAACTCACATGCAGCTTGCAGGAGCCAGGGTGGGCAAAAAGATCCTTGTCCTCCAAATTTTAGAGATTTGTGCTCTGATCACTGAGTGCTACTTCTGATCATTGAGGTGCAGACACAGAGGCACACAACCATAGTTGTATACCATCTACAACTGTTGTAAGCCCCTTCTGCTCCAGCTGAAGAGACTTCCAGGGAATTTAAAGGACTTCCTTTCTTAGTCCCCATTCCACCCTCACCCCCCAACTTTTGGGAGCCAGACATTAAAGTCTGGGACATTCAAAAGCAACTGCATATACAAAGGAAATTAGAATGTCACCACACATACCCAGAGAAGCACACAGGCTTAGAAAGACCTGAGAAGACCCTACATTTACACCTCAGCCTGATCCTTGACACAGAGACAACCTACAATAATCAAACACAAAACAACAACAACAAAAAAAATAGCAAACCCTATAAAGGTGAGAATCTGATTTCTAGAGTTACCATTTTAATAGATTCAAATATCCAGCTTTCAACAAAAATCACAAAGCATACAAAGAAACAGAAAAATATGGCCCATCCAAAGGAAAACATTAACCAACAGAAACTATCCCTGAGAAAGGGAGGACTTACTAGGTAAAGACTTTAAAACAATTGTCTTAAGGTTTATAAAGAACTAATGGAAAATATGACTAAAGTCAAAAATATGATGTATTAACAAAAAGGAAATATCAACAAACAGATTGACAACCTAAAAAGAAAACAAACAAAAAAGAAATTTTAAACTGGAAAATTAGAATAAGAAATAAGGCCAGGCACAGTGGTTCATGCCTGTAATCCCAGCACTTTGGAGGGCTCAAGTGGGTGGATCACAAGGTCAGGAGTTCGAGACTAGGCTGGCCAACACAATGAAACCCCCTCTCTACTAAAAATACAAAAATTAGTGGGGAATGGTGGCATGTGTCTGTTAGCCCAGCTACTCAGGAGGCTGAGACAGGAGAATTGTTTGAACCTGGGAGGTGGAGGTTGCAGTGAGCCATCATGCCACTGTACTCCAGCCTGGGTAACAGAGCAAGACTTAATCTAATGAAAAAAAAAAAAAGAAATGAAAAATTCACTAGAGAGATTCAGAGGCAAATTCAAGCAGTCAGAAGAGATAATCAGCAAAGCTGAAGATAGAACAGTTAAATTTATCAAATCAGAGAAAGAAAAAGTAAAAAAAGATTGACTTAAAAAAGCCTAAGGGACCTGTGGGATACCATCAAACCAACCAACCTATGTATTATGAAAGTCCCAGAAGGAGAAGAGAGAAAGCACAGAGAGATTATTTCAAGAAATAATAGCCTAAAACTTTCCAGGTTTGATGAATGACATGAATATAAACATACATGGAGCTCAGTGGACTCCAAGGTAGGATGAACTCAGAGACCTCCACTGAGTCATATTATAATTAGACTGTTAAAAGACAGGATCTTGAAAGCACTGAGAGAGAAGCAACTCATCACACGCAAGGAATCTTCAGTATGAATATCAGCAGACTTTTGTCAGAAAGTTTCAAGGCCAGAAGGCAGTGGGCTGATATATTAAACATTTAATGTGCTAAAAGAAAAGAGAAACTGTCAACTAGGAATCCTACATCCAGCAGAAGTGTCCTTTCAAAGTGCAGAAGAAATTAAGACATTCCCAGATAAACAAAAGGCAAAAAAATTCATTACCACCAGTCCCGCCCTGCATAAATATTAGAGGAAGTCTTGCAGGTTGAAATGAAAGGATGCTAGACAGTAACTCAAAACTGTAAGATGAAATAAAGCTCTCATTAGAGGTTAATGCATGGGCAATTACAAAAGCTAGTATTATTGTAACAACAGTTTGTAATTCTACTTATAGAATATTGTGGGCAATGTTCCGTAAGTGGAATAGACTATATTCTATAGATTATTATTCAATTCTATAGACTATATAGGTGGCTATATAATCCCTCTAGAAATGGTGCCATATGAGGGGCTCAGCAGTGGCCTCTGCCATTGGCAGGTTGAGTACTCAGCAGGGGTCATAACCAGATTTGCTTTGGTGAAAGGAAGTGGGTAGCCTTCATCCCTGTCGCCAAGGGAAAGAGGGCAACTGACATTCACGGAATGTGTCACCTTATCTTCCTGACCATTGAGAGTCTCCTCTGCAGGGAATAGTCTTGGGGAAACAGTCACATGAGACACAAATAATCTTCATACTCTATCTATTCTGAGAAGTTAGGTCACAGAATTTCTCTGTGTATTTCCTCTCAGCAGCTTTCCCATATTCTTTCCAAGCTTTGACTATTCAGCTAAACTATCAGCCGCTGCCCATGAATCAGTGTAGATCTGTACTTCTGGCTGTCTCTCTGACCAAGCAAGTGGCCAGTCAGATATATTGCTTTAAGTTCTGCCTACTTAGAAGATTTTCTTCCCCTGTCTTTTTGGTCACTCCTGTGGGGGGCTGTAATATTGTAATAGTCTACTTTGGGAAGGTATCAGCATATCATGCTAAGTCATTTGTAAACCGAGCTGGAGGTTTTTCTTCCTATATTAGATGGCCATAGGACCTTAGTTAAGGGTTGATGGAGAGGTAGCAGTACAGCAGGAGTATGCACCATAGGAATCTGAGCCATATATTGCTGCAGCTTTTCCAGACTTGCTGGAGCCTGATTTCAAATATTGCTTTCGCTTGATGGGGGAGTTCCATTGTACAGTTCATGATGAGTGGCTAAGGTTGCGTGATCACTTAGTATCCTGTGGTCAGGTATTTGGTCTCTACCAATATGCAGTAGTAAGTGAGAAATTGTTTTTCAAATAAAAATCGTTATCTTCAGAATAGGACATTTTTTTGTTCAAAAATGAATCTGCTATAGGTACCTAGAAAAGGCTGTATTCATAGAATGATCATGTACTTTATCATCCAAACCAGGATATAAATGAGAGGGAAAAGGGACAGTATTAATAATTATTTGGGGATAACAGGTGAAAACTCAGGCTATCCTTGAAATCCAGGATTTATGGTACCCTGTCTGTACAGCACACCTATTTGCCATAGTCCTTTAGAAGCCATTTGGACCTGCTGAGTCATATGCCCAATGGAAGAGCAACTTGCATTATAGTTGGGACCTGTTGTAGAACCTTGCCTTGCTGTGGGCCTCACTCAAAACTAGCAGCCTTGTGAGATACTTAGTAAATGAGTTAGAACAGCACAAATGTTTTATGTGTCACTTCTAAAATCCAAAAAGGGGATGGGCATGCCTGTAATCTCAGCACTTTGGGAGGCTGAGACAGGTGGATCACTTGGGGTCAGGAGTTCGAGACCAGCCTGGCCAACATGGCAAAACCTCATCTCTACTAAAAATACAAAAATTAGTCAAGTGTGATAGTGAGTACCTGTAATCCAAACTACTCAGGAGACTGAGGCAGGAGAATCACTTGAACCTGGGAGGCAGTGGTTGCAATAAGCCAAGATCCTACCACTGCACTGCAACCCCGGGCAACAGAGTGAGACTCCATCTCAAAAAATAAATAAATAAATATAAATAAATCCAAAAAGACCAATGAAGCTTTGTGATTTTTTTTTTTTTTTACAAGTAGTGCAAGGTACAGGATTATGTCTTTCACGTTAGAAGTATATCCCAACATGCTTCAGATATCTGGACAACAAAAAAAATTAATCCATATCATAGTCCCCTGAATTTTGATGGTGGAGGGGGTTATCTCCATCCTGTAGCACACATATCTTACTAAGGCATCTAGGATGTTTGCAACTTTTCCTGCTTGCCAGGTCTAATCAGCATGATATTCTGTAGGATATTTTCAAAATAATAAGATCCCAGAGTTGATATAGCCCCAAGAGAAGAGGACAAAAGTGTACTGTTCTCCCTGTCAGGCCAAGGCAGACTACTTCTGGTAGTTCTTATCAATTGATAAAGAAAAAGAAACATTTGACAGGTCTTTAGCCGTATCCCCAGTGCCAGGGGCTGTGTAGATTTGTTCCAGTAAAAAGATTCCACATTTGGAATACCAGCTGAAAGTTGGAATCACCTCTTGATTAAGCTTACAGTAATCTACAATCATTCTTCAAAACTTTTTTTTCTGTACAAGCTAAATAAACAAAGGATATCTTCTACACAAGTTAAATAAACAAGAGATGTTAAACAGGGATGTCATAGGAATCATTATCCTTCCATCTTTTTAATCTTTAGTGATGGCAGTAATCTCTGCAATTACCTCAGGGATTCAGTGTTATTTTGGTTACAGGGGTTTCAATTGGACACTTCCTACCATAATGACGTTTACTTTGTTGCTCAGTAAACAAGTGTGGGTATTCTGCCAGTTGTTTAGTATGTCTGTTTCAGTGACACATTCAGGAACTGAGGAGAAACCATAAGGTAGATTTATAACTCCACTGGCTCCATTGTGAAACAGACTTTGGCTAAATTTTCATTCTGCCATCTGATCTTTATGATCCCCCACTTTTGAGTGATGAACGACCATGCCTTTTATATCCCCAGAGATTGGCACCAGTTTGCAGACACTGTCTAGTAATCCTTACAAGGACTAATATAGCACTGTTTGGTAAAACTTCCTACAATGTTGGAAATGTTCTATATCTGTGTTGTTCATAGGGTAGCTACTAGGTATATTGAGCTCTTGGGCACTAGAAATGTAGCTCATGTGATATAGGAACTGAATGTTCAATTTTCTTTAAGCTTAATTAGTTTTAAGCTAAATGTAAATAGGAACTGAATGAAAGGCCATGGCTCTTCCTTTGGACAACTCAAATCATTTTTTTCTCACCAGATCAAGGGTGTTCTGGTTATCTACATCACTAATAATTTCAAATAGTCTTCATTCAATTATAGAAATTGAAATTATCTGAAGCTAGTCTTCAGTTTCTGCAAGGTCCATACTATTTCAAGTGTATTTGTTCTCCAAGGGTTTAGTCTTTTAATGATCTAACTTAGAGCATGAGCAGTTCAGGCTTCTATTCTGTGGCATGCTTTGGATTACAATTTTTGGCTCCTGGCCCAGCAGGGTTGTCGGAATCTCTGCCCAACTTTTCAGCCTCTCTGCCACTTCTAGAGTTAGCAGTCTTAGGGAAAAAGTTGCATGAACCCCTTTGGATTTCCTTCTTTTTTCAAATCTTAGCCCCATAATTCATCACAGCTTATTTGTTCCCAGGAATCTTAAGGCAGATTGTTTTTAAATGTATATTTTGTCTGGGTTTTCTAGTTTTTTTAACTCAGGGAAGAGTTGGTCCACATTATTTAGTTGGCGATACTATAAACCTTGCTATTTATTTTGGCCAGGTACCTAGGGCACTCAGTATGGAATCAGCTTAAACTAAATTTCTGACTGGGTGTTTTCTGAACCACTCTGATGATACAGATTTGGGCTATAGTTTTGCAAGGGGACCAGTCTGCCCTTCTCCTCCCCTGTTCACTCCAAGACCATTTTCTCCTGGCCATGGGATAAGGAGAATGGGTTTAGTTTCGGTTAATTCCTCCTGAGGGTGAATCCCTTTCGGATCCCAACTTAGTATAAAGGGTCTCTGATTAAATGCCCCACCTTCAGTGTTCCCTGGGCTTTGGTTCTCTAGCCCCATGATACTGTCAAACCATAGTTCAGTTTCAACAGGACTAGTAAATGCCCTCAAGGCTTGAATGGCTTCTTATGTTCAGTTTCTCCCTCTGGGTTTTTAGATTTGGCATACTGCTTCTTTACTGTCTTCACATCTCTTATACATATTAAAATGTTGGATCCACCACCACAGGGAATGGTGGTGTGTGCCTGTAGTGCCAGCTACTTGGGAGGCCAAAAGGGGAAAATCATTTTTAGCCAGGAGTTCAAGTCCAGCCTAGGCAACATAGCAAGACACCATCTCTACAAAATAAAATAAATAAAATGATGAATATTTTTTATTTTTATATTTTTTTCGTCATTCTAGTTGTTTTCAGTGGAAAGCCTAGTTAAATAAAATAAGGCAAGTCTCCCCACCCTGCACTTCCATGTCCTCATATACGAGAGAGAAAATAAATGTATTCCTACTTGTATCAGAGTATCAATTGAAATCAGCATGCTCTGAAAGCTGTGGGTTGGCCAGGCATGGTCACTCACACTTGTAATCCCAGCACTTTGGAAGGCTGAGGCAGGAGGATTGCTTGAGCCCAGGAGTTCAAGGCCAACCTGGACAATATAGTGAGACCTCGTCTCTACAAAAATAAAAATAAAGATGTGGGTCTCCAGACAAATATCAGTGTCATTATTTTCTTCCCACTCATCTATCTAGATTCAATATCCTATGTGAGTTCCTCCTCTGCCAACCGCTTAAACGTTGGTGCTCCCCAGTCATTCACCCTCAACCTACTGTTTTTCTTAATTTTTTTACTCTTTGTTGGTGGTCTCTTCTCCTCACAAGTCTTCTGAGCTATAAGCCCATTTAGTCTACGTATCATATCCAATTCCTGACACACAGCCCCATGCCAATAAGTCCTCCTTCTTGTTCTCTCCTTCTTTCTTTTCCTGGCTTCATTGACTGGCACTTCTCCCCATCTAGTATTTAGTTGTCCAGGGTAGAAACCTGGGCATTAGCCCAAATTTTGCACTCCCTCATTCCACACATTCATTCAATCACCAGATGCTGTGAACTGTACTTTAAATTCTTCTCAAACCTCCTCATTCCTGTTATCCTCCTGTTTGGTCTCAGTCTACAGTTTCTTGACTCCCAACCCATCCTCCTATCTGTCAGCCAGAGTGATCTTCCTGAAATGCACATGTGATTCTATCACTGCCCTGCTTAAGGTCTTTTAGCAGGTTCCCACTGTCCTAAAGATAAACTCCATTAACATCACTCACGAGGCTTTTCATGGCCTGACTCTGCCTACTTCATCCTCCTTTCTCTTCACTTTTTCCATTCATCATATACCTCATCTATTCTGAACTATTTGTGTCTCCATTTCTCGCTATTTTCTCTGGGTGAGTGAGGGGAATCATATTTGACCCAGTCTATCTTTAGACTACTCTATTACTTGTTTTGAGCTGGAATCTGCTACTTTGGCTCTTGCATTAGGCCTACTCTCTTTCTGCTTCAAACCATACAAGTCGGCTTTCGCAGGCATGACTAGCACAAAGCAGAGGATAAATTGTTACCTCCTTTCTTTTAGTCACTGTATTCCAAACAACGCCACCTAAAAGAGCACTAGCTTTTTAGTAGCCACATCATAATCCTCTTTTACACACACACAGTCTGTTAAGCCATTTCTCCCTTATCCTGTGTGTGTGCACAGTTGGTGTTCTGTATCTTAACACAGAGGCTGATCTGACGTTTGTCCTAATTTAAGTGCTTGCTAAGTTTCATCGTGTTTGTTGCAGCCCTTGGTTCAATCTTTTGAGTGATATTTTTAGCCTAATCCAAAGTCTTATAGTATAAAGTAAAAGAAATCCCCTTGTACCATATATATAGAGGATCTAGGCTCAGAGATGCTCAACACTAGTGGGAAGTCGCACAGGAAGCAACGCAGCAGCAGCAGCACTGGAGCCAGAGCTCAGCAATCCTGCCCCCCTTCCCACACATCTTCTAATATAATACACAAATTCCCATTGCTGAATCCAACCACTGCACATACCCTTAGCTTCTAAAAACTTTCATTAAATCTCTCAGATTTTAAAAAGTTTTAATTCTGTTTGCCAAAAGAAGTGATCATAAAAATAGCACCACTCTGAACAGCTGGAAACCCCAGCTTCTCCACTACTGACGGACTGCCACTTCAAAGAACTCTTCATCCAAAACTGCCTCCAGAGGGGCTCAGTGGGAAAGCCTGCTGCTTTCCTCTGAAGCTAGGCATCTGTCTTCTCACCCATCTGATGGCTGCCCCTCTATTTTAAGACATCTATTTTAGAGACAAAAAAAAAAATGAAACTTTCCCATGCTATAATTAGGGTGGAACTTTAAAAAGGCAAAGTAGTGTAACTCGTCACAAGAGACAAGACAGAGCCAGCTTCTACATTACGGAGCTTAACAGGAAATTTTTAAAGGCTTATTTCTTAGCTGCTTCATATTTCACTGGAGTAAAATAAAGATTGGCCAATAGATTATAAATCAACAGAGCTGCTGTGCACTGTTCTGTAATAGCTCTCAGATATTAAAAATTCAGTGTAGGAAAGTTGGTCCTTCCAGAAAGAGGAAAGGACACATCCGTGACCTTGAAATATTATGAACTATAAAGGCTTCCTGCCTTCTCTGTTACATGTCTCTGGTCTTTGGACTTCAGGCCTATTCTGCACACTGCTGCCAGGGCCCTGTCCTTTTTTTTTTTTTTTTTGAGATGGAGTCTTGCTCTGTCACCAACCTGGAGTGCAGTGGTGTGATCTCAGCCCACTGCAACCTCCACCTCCCAGGTTCAAGCAGTTCTCCTGCCTCAGCCCCACAAGTAGCTAGGACTACAGGCGTGCACCACCGCACCCAGCTAATTTTTGTATTTTTTAGTAGAGACGGGTTTCACCATGTTGGCCAGGATGGTCTCAATCTCTTGACCTCATGATCCACCTGCCTTGGCCTCCCAAACTGCTGGGATTACAGGCGTGAGCCACCATACCTGGCCCTGACCTGTCCTTTTTTGCAGTCAGGACTGTCATTATCTGTAGAAGTCTCTCAGTGTTAGGATACGGGGAAAAAAAAGACAGGGGAGAATTTACTGCAAGAACATTGGGGAATCTCACAGCCATGCCTTAGGGTCATGCTGAACGTAGGCCCTGAGCATTGTGGAGCAGCCTGGAAGTTCTGTCACTCAGCTTTCACATCTCCTCCTCTCTGTGACTTGCCACATTTTTCTTTACAGGTGGGCTGCCTGTGTCTTTCTGGACCCCATGATGGGAAACATGGCTGCCAATAGCTTCTAATTATGTTACAGATCCAGCCACGGAGAGAGTTATTTTTTTCCATGTTCCCTCTCTTTCACACTGCTTAAGACCATGACAGTTCCCTTTCCATTCCTCATGGTTTTGCTTAAACATTGCCTTTCCTGAATAGGTGCCTTCTCTACCTACTTCTTTTATAGTGTTTGTCTCACTGCATGCTGTGTGTCCACCTACTCCACAGACTGTAAGCACCTAGAGGGGAGGGATATGTTCTTTTCTAGTATTCTCAGTACCTGGCCACATAAATGTATGTTAAAGAAATTCATGAGTGTGAATAAACAAATTAAATAGTAATACATTCATTTAGAATATATCCTCTCTAAATTCACCTGTGAAATATCCCTGACTTCAGGTATACATCACTGCCTACCTTTGCTAAGCTCTCTTTAGCCCAGGCATCAGCTCCTCCTTTCATTTCCCCACCCTTTAATCCACATGAGACTAGTAGATGTGAATGTGAGAGGTGACATTTGGCAGTGGAAAGGGCATGGGATTTGGAGTCAGACAGATCTAGGTTCTAGTTTGAATTGTCCCACTTTCTTTTTTTTTTTTTTTTTTTTTTTTTTTGAAAAAGGGAGTTTCGCTCTTATTCCCCAGGCTGGAGTGCAATGGTGCCATCTCGGCTCACCGCAACCTCCGCCTCCCGGGTTCAGGCAATTCTCCTGCCTCAGCCTCCTGAGTCGCTGGGATTACAGGCATGCACCACCATGCCCAGCTAATTTTTTGCATTTTTAATAGAGACGGGGTTTCACCATGTTGACCAGGATGGTCTCGATCTCTTGACCTCGTGATCCACCTGCCTCAGCCTCCCACAGTGCTGGGATTACAGGCTTGAGCCACCGCGCCCGGCCCTGTCCCACTTTCTAGTTATGAGACTATAGGCAAACTTCTCTGAGCTTCATTTTCTTAATCTGTAAAGGAGATAAATAATACCTGTCTTTTGATAACACATACAAAACATGTAGCACAATGCCAGAAATGCAGTAGGTGCTGAGGAAATGTTAGTTTCCCTTCCCCTTGTTGTGTGTGTGTGTGTGTTTATGGCTTATATATGTGTATACTATATGCGTTTGTGCCTATGTGTATTATTCGGGTGTGTGGGTGGCATACAGTGTGGAGGGAAGACTGAAAATGCTATTTGCATCATCTGCCTGTGTGGAAGAGAGTTACCTAAGTCTCATCTACCTGAAGGACACAAATGAGATCACATTAATGGCAGTACTTAAAATGTCACCACTTTCTGCCCACCCATGTAATTCGGGGCATCACCCCCTTAAATCTCACTCTTAGGTGTTTCTGGGAATCCTCAGAGAGTTGAGTTTAAGAAGAAACTTCTCCACTCCTTACTCATGTGTTCATTTTATGAAGCCATTTGATAAGTGAACCTCACTGCAGCCAGGGATGGTGCCCTTAATCCACCCTACTTTACCCTACTAGTTGGCAAAGCTGTGGTCTATAACAAGGGCATTGTCTCCCGGTGCTCCCATGGTCACCAGTCTACTAGGTGACACAGCATAACAAAGAGTCTTCCTGAGCCAAAGTTGTGCAGTGATCTACCTGCAGAATGCTCCCTCTAGTTTGGCCTCTTTCACCCTGGTATTTTCTATAAGCACTACCTATACAGTCTCCCGCCCTGGCCTAACCTGGTCTCAAGGATGTGTGTAACCTTTCTCCATAAAGAAGACGATATGGTATGTATAAATAGAGTTTGGGGAAGGAGAGGGTGGGGAGGGAATTATACTTCCTCTGCATCCCTACAGGCACCTCTTTTGGGCACTAGAGCAGTTCCTAAGCTGGTTAGACCTCCTGGTTGATTCCTTGTCCTCTTCAGCATCCTGGGAATGGTGGAGTTTGTCACCCGATCTTGCTCATTACCCAAGATCTTTGCACTCACAGGGAGGCATCTGTAACATCGCTCACAAGCAAGAGGTACATCCTGAGGTTCCCAGCACTGGAGACACTGATGCTGGATGACAACAGACTCTCCAACCCCAGTTGCTTTGCCAGCCTGGCTGGGCTCAGGAGGTAAACCCGTAAGCCTTTCTCTGCTGGGCCTCCTCTAAACCACAGGCTTTCTCATACTCAGTACCCCCTTGCATTTCTAGCTGTTCTGGAGCCAAATGGCTTGGGTTTAAATCCCAGCTCCACAATTTACCTCTACTGTGTAGCCATGGGCAAGTCATTTCTCCCCTCTGAGCTTTAGCTCCTCCATAAACATGGCAGTCA